ACCCACACCCATCCAATGAAAAAATTATTGGAAAAACCTAATTAGCGAAGCGAAAATTTTTGAATAATGTAACAAAATTGAGCTTGAGAAAACTCTTTTAGAAGAAATTTTCCTCCAACAGTCTATATTCCAGTTGTTAAAAATCACCTCCTATCAACACTGCCAGAGCCAGGAGAGTGACTCCCTCTCCACCACCACTTTTTCTGTCCCTGACGACAACACAACATTCATAGAATCAATTTAAATCTTTTCTTTGAATATTAGATTATAAAATCAACAAATACTATTGTCTATTTTTCATAGCTAAAAAGTGCAAAATTTTCATTTATTGGGGGGGAGGTGTACACCCCCCCCCCCCTCCACTTTCGCGGCCTCTGTGAGATAATCATAATTCGTATTGTATTTTTTATCCTTTTTCAATCGTTAATGTGAGTGTGTTTCACGAGATTCACTTGAAAGAAAAAAAATAGTACGTGCTTTGTTTATCTTATACATATATTGATGCGAAGCTCATGACCTTGATCGATGAGTTTATCCCGGTTCTTGTTGATAGAACGAACTTTCATTTGAAATATGTTATCGTTATTAGAACGGATGAGAAGGTGGCTAAAAATTTTCATGCAATTGCACTTTTGTCAAAATAAAAAGTTGTTTTTAAATTCTTTTCTCAACATAAAAACATCAATTTCTTTTCTAATAAAAGTGGTAATCGGTTAATGCTTAATAAGTCAATTTCATTTTTATTTCTTCTATGACATAGATTTATCGGTCTGTTTGTTCTTTCTGAGTTGAGTATTATTCTCTATGATAGTTTTCAATTTATTGTTTTATAATTGAAATTGTCAATGACGTTGATACTATTATTCTATTCAAACCCGAAAATTGTGAAAGATTTTTGAGATATTGTTATCCTTTTAAATATTTCTTCAGAAACAATATAGAATACAATTCACTTAGGAATTTTGAAGTCTCGGATGAGCTTTTCTGGAATATTTTTGTTCCAAAGACAATCTACTAAATTTCTATTTATTACTATAATTGCTCTTTTTTTTTGCTCACACATATAATGGCATGTGTTAGTACACGTATGTGCACATGAAGAAGAGGAAAAAGCAGGGTTTGATTGAAATACGATCAAAAATCGTATGCTAGCTGTATTCAATTATCAGCCTGTCATCTTGATAAAAAAAACTAATGTATATTGTAGAAATTTCAGAAGAAAACAAGTAACATATGAAAAGCTTGCCTAACAAATATACACATACGTAAATAAAATAAGAAAAAAAAATCATATAATATTCGTTTTACATTTACAAATTTTATTTAGAAATCCTTTATTTAATCGAAAATTAGAACCGCGAATGATATAAAACATTTCTGACCATCTTCATTATTTTTCCTTTTCAACTTCTGTGAATAACAAATTGATTTATATAATGTTGAGGTTATTTAAAGTGAAAAACAATCGCCTCTAGAAGAACAACATAATGCGTTAAAAAATTGACTTCTAACGAGCATGTGATGTTACAGATAAATATTTTAACATACATTTAATGTATATATAAAAAATTGATAAGAAAACTAATGAAATAGTTTCAACTTTTGATATGCTCTTTTTTAATACATGTAGAAATATGAACTTTTATTCTTTTTCTCATTCTATCGGGAAAATACCAAGTTCGTTTGAATATGAAGAAATAAGCAATATTCATTTCTATTATTCATGACTCTCTCGCGCTCTCTCTATTAATCGATTAATGGATGTGAGATTCCAATATTTTTCTCTACATAAATATATAGGAATATTCATAATTACATCTTTCATAAGACTAAAAAAATCATTATTTGTAACGGAATGACTACCGTGATCTATTTCTCTTTTCAAAAAAAAAAAGAACCTTATTTACTTTGTATTGATGATTTATTAATTACGATGACCTACTAAAATCTTTTCTAAATTCTTAGAAGAAAACAAAATAAATAATTTCTTGATAGCCGCATCCTCTCGAGAAAAAAACAAAGAAAACACCCACTATCAAAAGAGAAAATTGGAAACAAGCCCAAAACTTAGAACGATGTTGATTTTGCAAAAATTTAAATGAACTTTTCACTTTTTTCTCTCTATAATCTCTCTCTATTTCAGTCCATCAATTACGTGGAAGTTCCATTGACATTCATCCAAATGCTCGATGGAAACAGAATGGTATTACTGTGGCTGGAGGAAATGGATATGGCAGTGAACTCAATCAACTCTCTTACCCATGTGGTTTGTATGTTGATGAAGATGACACAGTCTATGTCGCTGATCAATGGAATCACCGTATTGTCGAATGGAAACGTAGTGCAACGAATGGCAAAGTAGTTGCCGGTGGAAATGGAGAAGGAGATGGAGTTCATCAGTTGTCTAACCCACAAGATGTGATTATCGACAAAGAAAAAGATAGTCTCATCATCTGTGATAACGGGAATAAAAGAGTGGTTCGATGGTCTCGTCGAAATGGGACAAGTGGAGAAACAATCATCTCCAACATCAATTGTGTGGGTTTGACAATGGACGAGAATGAATCTCTCTATGTCACGGACGATGGAAAACATGAGGTGAGACGATATCGAAGAGGAGAATCTCAAGGAACAGTGGTTGCAGGTGACAATGGAGAAGGAAATCGTCTTGATCAACTCGCTTACCCACGCTACGCATTCGTCGATCGAGATCATTCGGTATACGTGTCTGAATGGGGAAATAATCGTGTGATGAAATTGGAAAAAGGTGCAAAACAAGGCCTTGTCGTGGCTGGCGGTCAAGCACAAGGAAATAGTCTTACACAATTGTCAAGTCCTCAAGGAGTCGTTGTCGATCAATTGGGTACTGTCTATGTGGTTGATAATGGGAATCATCGAATCATGCGTTGGCCAAAAGGAGCCACACAAGGAAGTGTCATTGTTGGTGGAAACGGTGATGGAACACAATCGAATCAACTCCATTGGCCCGTAGGTGTATCATTCGATCGACATGGCAATCTCTATGTCGTCGATTTGGCAAATAATCGAGTACAAACATTTAATATCGAATAAACTCAGTACGATGATTAATTTTATTTTTTTTGTTCTCTTTCTCTTGCGAATAAATTCCGATTAAATAAAAAAAGAATTAGTAGCTATTCTATTCGCGCACGCGCGCGACCAGGAACCATCCTGGTGGAGCCGTGGCGAGCGTAATGCTCATGCACGGGAGGGAAGACTCAAACCATCCACATGCACCCATCCGAGGACATTTGTCAATGCGTTTGGGGGTCCAGTCGTGTGCCACGGACACCAAGACAGTTTCTGACCGGGCTTTTAGGGGCTACCTGGAAGTCCTTCAGATAACGCCAACATAATCTCAATGAACATAGCTCACCCCCCCCCTCACTAACACTCACTCTTCTGAGTCTCACCCTAACCCTTCTCATCTCAAAAAAAAATTGCTCACTCGTTGATGTTGGATGATGACGCGCTGCGATGATGTTGATGGCTAACAGGAAAAGAAAAAAAACTATTGAACGATGAGAAAAAAATGGTTAACTTACCACCTGTTATCTTTTTCTTCACTGTTCAATGGCTAAAATTAAAAAAAAATACATAAAAAAGATCATAGGAGGACTTACCACCATTCATATGATCCAAAATAGAAAAAAAGAAAAAGGAAAAAAAATAAAATCTAATACCTACATTTTTTTTATTGTCTTGTTTGGTATTGAGCTATTTAATTTTGTATCGTCCAAACCAATCCAAAATATAAAAAGAAAAGATTAGTATTTGTTGCAATAAATTGAATGATTTTGGGGTGTGGGTGTGTTGTTGTGGGTGTGGTTGTGAGTTAGAGTACTGCGCGGGTTTGAATTTTAGAACCCGCACCCGACCCGAAGGCTTCTAGTGAAATACGTACCCGACCCGACCTGATGACAATCAAACCCGAGCCCGACCCGACCCGACCCGAAAAATAAAATTCGTGTATTTTTGAAAGATAAGTTAGTTTATTTCAATGCAGAGTTCCGAATGGAGTTTTGAAACAAAATATTTTCGTACATTTTATGTAACCGAGTAAAATCTACATATGCACTTAATTTTCATAAGCAAAGTGTACGGATTGAAGTTTACTAGTAGTCTTGACAGATAAACAACTGTTCATTTCTTTTACCAAACATGCTTCAGAAGGAGTGTTGAAGTATAAGGGTAGCAGTTTGGACTCAACCGCTCTTTCCTCAACAGATCGTTACAGATATAGCCATGAAACCAAAGTCTGTTGGGAGATTTTGGTGAAACACGATTATATTTAAGATACTCGTCTTTTGTTGTCCTTCCATACTCACTGTAATATTTTAAGATTATCATCTTTTATCATTGACACAGAGTAATAGCAGATAATAATTCATAAATCGAAGCATATGCTATTGAATCTCTCAGTTACAATATTTACAACTACATTGTCTTTCACATTTTAATCTCACAAGGATTAAATAAAATTGACTGCAAGATCTCATGATGGACACTTAATCGTTCATTAATATAAATATTAATTCAAATCAAACAGACATTTCGATTAAAAACATACTGTCAGTGTTATAGACAAAGTGATTTCGTATACATGCTGCTTATGTCACCA